TATAGTGAGTAATAGCGAAGTTGTTAGGCGTAGAGGCCGTTGACCGCGAAGTAATTTGGACATTGTCGTATGCCAAGTGATCCGCAACGGAGAATTCAAGGGAATCTTCGCAGTGAAGACAAGAGTGTAAAACAAGGCTTCCTACTATCACCGATGATAATCCTTATTATGATGAGAACAGATAGACAGAGAGAGATATGCTTACATAGTGTGTAGAAGAATAATATGTATGTATGAATTTGCCGTTTGAAAGAATTACTGGCAGTGAAGCTCAGAAAAGTATTAACTAAAACATTCTTTACCCTTTAAAACTATGTTTAAAATTCACCACTCGTTGCATAATTCCGATGCAGGTTAGGGATAAGCTACCGAGTCTGGCCACTACATTGTGTATTTATAAATTTTAACTGTTCTTTTTGAGACAGTTATATAGGTTGTAGGACGATTCACTCAACAAGCCCACCGTCGTCTTCTTGAGCATTGTCCAACATGATTTGTTAGCTAAAGGAGTCGTGAAGTCAGTCGGCTGTTCCAGTATTGGTTGGCGTTCCTTTTGATGTATACGGAGCACAAGATTAATAAAAAAAATTCAGCCTTTATCATCACTCATTGTATACATGGTGCCACCAATCAATTTCCTAAGTTTGTGCTCCTTCAAGAATGCTAAACTTAGGCAAGTGGCCTCACTTAGTAAATATACCACCAAGTAATATCATTTACGATACCGTCGAGTGGAAAGCGATGTATTTGACATCTGAGTGTGATATCAAGGAGACCTTATGAGGAGGAAGTGAAAGCATATAGACAGTCATGGTGTCAGCTAAAAGAGACACCTGTGAACAGATTGACTTGGAAATGTTCTCCTGAAGTCTAATATTCTACTCGCAACCGAAGGGAATAATAATACTAAATACTATAATAACAACAAGTCTTTAAGATAATGTGGGAGGAGCAGGTGACATGACTGATACAGTTACTCAGAAGTAGTGGTTTTGTATCGCTCCTATATTAACTCTAACAGAACTCTTATAAAACTAATTTATATATGTGTGTCGAATATTTGCAAATGTATTAGTGAACATTGGTTTTCGTTTGTTATGTATATATATTTTGCGGGATTTCGCACAATTACGTTCACCTCACACACTTCGAAATTTGATTTCGTTAACAAGACATCTTTTCAGGTTTTCACGTGTGCCTTTGGAACAAAGTTATTTGATATTTAGATGCATACGCGTTAGAACACCCTAGATGTGTTGCTGAAGCCCCATGTTCCACTCGGAACCCAATGGAATAATGATCCAAACAAGAGAAGGTAGTTCAGCGAGGAGTCTTTTTTCAGCAGTGAATTCATTCATTTAGCTGTACAATCGCAATTACACATATACTTATTTTTGTATGTGTGTGCACATTAGGTTTGTCTGATGATAAGATTAAAAATAAGTTAGGGTTATTGTTGTCAAGACATTTCAAAAATATGATGAGTAATCAAACTGTAACTACAGGTGGAGTCAAGATTGGTAGGACAGTAGTGCTGATGTATTGTCAGGAAAACATATTTATTAACACATAAAAGAAGTTGAATAAGCGTGATACAGTTACGTAATAAGATGGATAGTTTAGTGAGTGAATTGTGATAAAGTAAAATATAGAATCATGTAAGACTTCCAAAAATACAAATGTCATGAGTTAGAAAAAGGAAAGAAAAAAACAAGCACACAAACATCAAGTCAGTGGAAGTCAACATGGTTGTCATCATGATAGCAGAATTGGCTGGATGATTTTCTTTTGTATACGTTACTCTGGTTATTTCAATCAACTGAATAGCTAAAGCTTCAGCAATACAAAGGAGATGAAAGCGTATTGCCTTTGTAGGTTATTCCTCACTTTGTAGATCACTTTGAATGAGACGTTTGTTGAGATGGAATGACCAGTGTTGACTAGATGTTCAATTATCTCGCTCCTTATACAGCCACTATTACCTTTGTGCAGTCATGCGGGATAGTGTAGTTGAACCTTTTTGGACAGGATACGCATTGAACTACCAACGTATCTGGCTTCACAGCAATAGGTGAACTGATATGTGCACAAAGAAGCGGCCAGATACAAGATCTTGTCCTTAAGGCTTCTGCTTCACTACTACCCTCCGACTAATCTTGACCCCACCTGTAGTTACAGTTTGATTACTCATCATATTTTTGAAATGTCTTGACAACAATAACCCTAACTTATTTTTATTCTTATCAGACAAACCTAATGTGCACACACATACAAAAATAAGTATATATGTAATTGCGATTGTACAGCTAAGTGAATGAATTCACTGCTGAAAAAAGACTCCTCGCTGAACTACGTGTTTTGTTTTCATTAACGTCTGGTTGGGCATTATTCAGGAATAATGATAATAAAAAGAAGAACGTGGGTATATTATAGAAATATGTTCGGAATCATATTTGGCACCCACAGTTTCACAGTGACAAAAAAGCAACTACATAATGCATTAGTTAGGGACACAATGGATCTAAAGCGTTTGAAATTTAATACGGTGAATATTTTTTTTTTTGATGAGAAGAAGAAATTTGCTTGCTGACTGTCCACTTGAAACCAGGATAGAGACAGCAGAAACGAAGTCGTTAAAATGTATAAAATGAAAATACAAGAGTAAATTACTTTCCGTAAATAGGGTAAAACAAATAGTAAAGGTGTTTAAGACGGTATGATGGGATAAGACAGACTGAACAAATATTATATTATATACTCTACTGTATTCAAATTCACTCAAGACAACTCTACTCTGCTTAACTCTAAGCTACTTCACTCAACTCTCCTCTACTCCATCCCAATGTACTCAATTCAGTCCAACATAATAATGAATCAGTCAGAAATACCAAATAATTTTAGTGTAAGTGTAGAAGTTGGGCACTGTGGTAGTAGTATGTAATTCCATATGAGACAAGTTTATTTTAAAGCATCACCCACAGTGATGCTGCAGTAGTCACGACTGGATGACAAGCTTTCCAGCATAAATTATTACCACTCATAATCATCATATCAATTAAGTCGCATTGCTACACAATCTGTCTTATATATGTATATATGCTCTCTCTTTCTACCTCTCCCTTTTTGCCACTTTCCATATATCCGGTATAGGCGTTGCGTCATTCCGATTACACGTGTGCAGTGTGTTGATTCGATAAATAAAGATTCAGTCAGTGGTCAACCGCTGTCTTTGTCCAACTGACTATATTACTTTCTAATTCTCTCACCTTGTCCCACCAACCTGTTTTATGATTACATGCAAGTGAAGGCAATACAGTGCGTTGACCGAGCTTTTTTTTAGGTTTTGTAACTTAGCACGGTTAATCATTCTAGGTTTAGCTAAATTTTTATATTTCCCTGGTAATCTAATTGACCACGATCTACTAGTTTAACTCAAGTAACTGACATCAATAATATTCATTACATATTAGTATTTAGTAAATTATATGTAATTTTCCTTTATTGGATCTATTGGGTCCTTCAGCTGACAAAATTTACCTCTAAGAGACTTGGTTGCTTGGGTTAAACGCCACTCCAAGCAATTCCAGTCTCATTCAGAATCCTACTTAGAAGGGCCTCTGACGTTCCTTCTCTTGTACGGCAATGTCCTGCAGACTTTTATCAGCACGCACAAGAAGGGATTAGCAAAAACCAACTCTGTAAAATGAGCCAACCATAAAACCTATCATTGAACAAAAACATCCAGAAGAAAATGTAGATGAGTTGGACATGTGCTGAGGATACTGTGTGTGTGTGTGTGTGCGTGTGAAATCACACACCAGACATACCCCCAAGTGGAAACCAATTGTGGAACTACAAGGTGGTTGTGGATTGGAAAGTGACATGGGGGAAACCGTACGAGGCTGAGGAAATGAGAGATTACGGGTAATCGTGGAACCAGCTAAATAAAGACTTCAGAGAAGACGATGAATAGAGATATGATTTGACTGGAGCCCTCTGTTCCCTCTCTGTCTCTCACCCCCCTTGTTGTTTGTTCCAACTTTCCATATCTCCGGTATAGGCGTTGAGTCATTCCGATTTACACATGTGCGTTGTGCTGATTCAATAAACAAAGATTCAGTCGTTAACCTCTCTAGAGAAAAATATTAACAAAATTTCACACAAACTTTTATTTCATTTCTGCATATCTCTGAGGATTTTCAATTGTAAAAATATTTTGTTGGAAAGAACAATCGGTTTATCAAGGCAAAGAACTTCGCTTCACTTTATTATTGAGAAACAAAATATGTCAAGTTAAAAGAGAAGACATGAACAAAAACAGAATAGTGTAGTTTCTCCCCATTTCCTCTTTTACAGAAAAGAAAATGTTTATTCCTCTGAACGGTTTATATCTTTATAATCTGAATGTATATTTACAAACACATGGATAGCTAGCCGCTTCTATTACTACTTATATGTCGTCATATAAGTAGTGTGCATTTTGGTTTGCATAAAAGTTTCTTTATTCATGAAGAATACTGAAATATAAAAATATACATATATATTCTCTGAATAGGAATCGCGGAAAGTAAACGAAAATGTAGTCGAGTGCAGTGTTAGAAAGTAAATTAGAGTTGAGTGGAGTGGAGTGGAGTGGAGCTAAGCAGGATGGAGTGGGATTAAGTAGAGTTGAGCGGAGTTAGGCGAAGTGTAGTTCAGTTAGATACAGTTGAGTAGAGTAGGCTAGAATCCAGTAAAGCTAAAGAGACTTGGTTGGGATAGATTAGGCTTCACTAGTTCACTAGCTTGTCTTAAACCACGGAAAAAGACGGAAGGTTCAGCATGAGGCTGGTGGCTTTACGCCAAAAACCCACTTGCTTCAGAAAATTCAAAGTAGAGTAGAACAGAATCTAGTAGACTGAAGTAGAATAAGGTGGAGTTTGATAGAATACAACAGAGTAAAACAGAGCGGAGTGCAGCAGAGTAAAGTTGAGTCTAGTTGAGTAGCGTAGGCTGGGGTACAATAAAGTAGGGCCTAATAGTAATAATATTAGCTTAGAGTAGTGTAAAGTCAACATATAATTATCACGCTCCTTGGTTAGTTAAAAGGTTTTTGGTCATGAAAAATATTAAAATATAAAAACAATATTTTGGGACACATAAGAATATAGTAGAGTAAAGCGAAGTCGAGTGAAGTATAGCGGACTAGCGCAGAGTAAATCAGAGTTAAGTAGATTGGATTACTGCAGAGTATAACAGAGTTGAGTACAGTGGGGTTCACAAGATTAGAGTGAAGTGTATTAGCGTAAAACAGTGGAGTAAAGTTTATTAAAGCGGTTTTCAGTAGAATGAAGTGAAGTACAGTTGAGTAGAGCAAAGTTGAGTTTATTAAGGTGACATAGAGACGACTTTAGCACCTCGGAAGTTTACTAGAGTGTAGAGGAGCTGAATAGAGTGGAGTTCAGCAATGTAGAGTGGACTTGAATCTTTGTGAGTATTTGAAGAGTTGATTATGGTAGAGGTAAGTGAAGTTGTGTACTGTAGATCTGAGTACATTATAGTGGATTGAAACGGAGTAGAGTAGTGTTGAGCGAAGTAAGTTAAAGTAAAGTTGAGTGAAGTAAAATACAGTGAGTAGGAGAAAGTGAGCAAACAGACCATTGAAGAAGAAGAAGAATATAAAGTCATCTCATTTTCACTCTTACTTTTTGTCTTTCCGACAACAACAACAACAGCATTTATAAAAACATTTACAAAATCCAAATAAACAATTGACTATCCAAATGATAATCAGTATTCCGAGCCCACAAAGAACTATGATCGCAATATTTTTCCAACTGTGAAGCAAACAGAAAAAACAAAAACAGAAAAAGGAAAAAAGATAAGGCAAATAGAAGATCAGAATTTATCATTCTGATAATAATTTTTATCGTGCAAATTGATTTATATCAGTCCTTTGTGTTGTCTCTCCATCTCACTCTCTCTCTCTCTCTTACATGACGATTGCTCAAGATATTGTCATTTACCTAATGGTGTGTTGTTTCTGCTTTGACCAATCGATATTTTATCTGTTTGAAATCGGCAGGATATCATCTAGGTCCATTCGTGACCACTCGACACTAGCATGGCTGTCATCTGAAGTGGAGACAACCAGTAGTGTTCGTCACGGTTGCCTCCCCCCCTCCCCACTGCTGTCCCCATTTCTATTTAATTTCAACATAGATGTACTAGGGGGGGGAGGAATTGATTGACTCTAACTGATTTCAGCGATAAAACTCATTTCTCTGGTGTAGTAGTAGAATTTATTGTAAGTGGTTTAACTTCATTATGGGTAAGATTTTATTTTGATTTGATTGATTTGATATTAGATAGTTGGAGGCAATCGGCAGGAAGCCTTGGACCTAGGTTTCGTGCTACTTGGCACTCACCAGCAAGGCGTATCTGCAACCCTGAAGGAACTGATGTCCCTTCTGAGATTCGAACCCGCGTCACCCAGTGCTCCAGTCAGAGACGTTACCACTGAGCTATTCGGACTCTACCACAATGCCCAAGTTTTATACTTATGTCTGCAATTGGTTTACTTTTAAACACTGAGCCTGTGTATATAATCTTGTTGACTATTACTACCTATAGCTACCTGTCTGTCAGTTTGTGACTGTTAAACACATCGAGTGGACATATCTGTTCCCTGGTGGATATATCTGTTGTATATAATACATTTTCAACTGGGAACTGGTGAAGTCTATCTTAACCTGTTTTGTTTTCGAACACCGATTCTGTGGATGCAAATTACCAGTTTGTGACTTTTCAACACATTGAGCAGACACCTATTATTATATATTATTATTGTTCCCTTGGGTTCCTAGTGGAACATAGGGCTTCAACTGCACATCTCCACTTGCTTCTGTCTTCTGCTGTACTTTTCACCTGCTTCTATGTTAATGCATACTGTTTCAACTCTTCTTCACACGATCTCCTCCATGTCACCCTTGCACCGACGTCCCACTCGCCGCTTCCCTTTTGGATGCGACTCGAGGGCCTGACGCGCGGCCTCCTCAGCAACTGTCCAATCCATCTCCACTTTCTCCTGCATATTTGTTGGGCGATTGGTTCTTGCTTTGTTTGTTCCCATAGTTTCTTGTTGGTGATTCTTTCCGGCCATCTGATCTTCAGTATAGAGCGAAGACAGCTGTTGATAAAGGTCTGCAACCTGTTGGAAATATTCTTTGCGATTTGCCAAGTTTTTGATCCGTATAGAAGAATTGACTTGACGTTCGTATTGAAAATCCGAATTTGTTGTTGATGCAGGCTGAGTGACAAATATTTCCAGATTGGTTTTAAATTGATGAATGTGTTCCTCGCCTTCCCGATTCTCGATTTGACATGCTCATCCGTTCCTCCTGTAGTTGAGACAATGCTTCCTAGATAAGTGAATGAAGTAACCTCTTTCAAATCCCTCCCGTTGATGGTGATTGGCGCTGAATGTTGCTGTTGTTGTTGTTGGTTATTTTCATAAGCTCCGTTTTGTCTATGTTCACGTGGGGTGCTGTCTTTGCTGCTTCTTCGACCAGTTTGTCGGTTTTCGCTTGTAAGTCTTCGATTTTGTGTGACATCAAACATAAATCATCCACGCACGAAATCCAGGTCTTCTAGGTTCTTCACGTCGGTCCAGGATATCCCTGTCTTCTCGTTTCCCACTCTCTGACGCATAATCCAGTCCACCACAATTAGGAATATCATTGGTGATAATAAGCACCCTTGTCTGACTCCTGTGTTTACTCCAAAAGCCTCGTTGAGTTTTCCGTTGTGGATCACTTGACATGTGCCGTTGTCGTACAGCTGTTAAATAAGGTTCATGAATATTCGGGGTATGCCGTAGTGCTGGAGTAGTTTCCAAATTACTTCGCGGTCAACACCTATAACCATCTAATATCTGTGGTTGCATATATTATTGGATTTACATGCCCAAGTAAGTGAGTCTCTGGTTTACGTATCGGTTTTGGTATTTGTGTTTGTCAGTGATGTTTTTACTACGGTTTTTGTTATTGCTGTCGTCGTTGCTTTTTCTGTTGTGATTTCTTTTGTTCCGTTTGCTTTATTTCTTATTTTCCTGGTTCTAGAGGGAGCAACCCAAAAAGTAGCTCCACTTTAACTCACACCCTTATGTATTAACTCCCTTCTCGGGCGTGAGGCTAGCAACCCCAACCTGTAAACAAAACCGCTACAGAAACTTCAGTACGATGAGTCTCCTTGCAACGAAAGAAAGAGTGTGTGTGGGGATATGAGACTCGCAAATCTGCCCAGATTGCAAATGAGATGAAAAGATATGCTACTGAAGTACTGGGAAGGTGTGAAAGCAGATGGAATGGGAGTGGACTCACAAAATTTCCAACGGGAGAGTCAGTGATCCACTCCGATCACCCAGAAGACAACCATGGGCACACTGAGGGTGTAGCTACCATTATGTCGCCAACAGCAACGAAGGCTCTGACACAATGGAAAGCGATCTCGCCCAGGATAATGACCACCAGACTCAACTCAAAAGGGAGGAGAGTGATAACTATACAATGCTATGCAACCACAAACGACGCAGACCTCGAAAAGAAGGAAGAGTCCTACAGACAACTACAGGCAACAATGGACAATGCTGCAGTTGGTGAAATCAAAATCCTCATAGGCGATATGAACGCTAGACTGGGGCCAGACAACACAAGAGGAGAACTCATCATGGGTAGAGAAGCACACGGAGAGATGAATGAAAACGGAGAACTCTTCGCTGACTTCTACGCCTTCAATGAACTAGGGATTGGTGGTAGCGTATACAACCACAAGGATATCCGCAAGGCTATATGGGTGTCACTAGACGGGCGAACCAAAAACTAAATTGACTTCATCTCAATGGTGCTCAAGGAAGTGGACACGCAACCTACTTGACACAAAAGTAAGAAGAGGAGCAGACGTCGGCTCAGACCACTATCTCGTGCAAGGAATACTCCTAATCAAATTGAAAGCTTTCAAAGAAACAGGAGCTGCAGATGGACCACAAACTAAGTTCAATACTCAAAATCTGAAGGATCAGGCCACAAAGAACAATTTCATTGCAATCATAAGGGAAAAGGCGATGACACAAATCAACACTAGCGAAGAGATAAGCATTGAAAAACACTGGAACAACCTTGAAGCGGTGTGGAGTCAAACCTGCATGGAAGTTCTAGGCAGAAAGAAGAGACAGGACAAACAGCGGCTCACTACGGACACGTGGAGACTAATGGAAGAGAGAAGGATAGTGAAACAAAAGATTATCCAGTGCATCGACGAGCAACAAAAACAGGAGTTGAATGCAAGCTACACTAAACTGAACAAAAGAGTAAAGAAGAGTGCCAGAAAATACAAAAGAAAATATTATGAAGCTATGGCAAGTGAAGGAGAACAAGCTGCAGGCAAAGGACACCTCGAAACACTCTAAAAAGCAACTAGGTTCCTATCGGGGAAGAGATCAACACAGCGGTTAGGACCCTCGCCGACCATGCATATGGTCTGGGGTTAGATCCCCGGCCGACGCACACCTGATATCAATGGTCGGCCTGCAAAATTTGGGATAATGATGCCACATGCTGAAAATTTCATACTTGTATCAAAAATACTATATGGAGTCAAGCTATAATAAAATTTTAAAAAATAAAAATTAAGCCAGTGAAGTATGAAAACGGGAAGTCAATCACCAAAGAGGTGGAGCAAACGAAACACTGGGCTGAGTATTTCAAAAGACTCCTTTATCGACCGCCACCTACAATGCACCCAATAATACCAACAGAGGAAGCAGAATTACCAGTGGATACCAACCCTTCGTCGAAAGCGGAAGTTCTGAAGGTCATAAAGATGTTAAAAACTGGAAAAGCAGCAGGACCAGACGGAATTCCAGCACAGGCATTGAAAATAGACCCAGAGACATCAGCAGACTTGATGACACCACTACTGGAGAAGGTGTGGAAAGAGGGAAAGGTACCTGCTGATTGGAGGAAAGCCTAAATATTCAAACTTCCATAGAAAGGAAACTTCGGTTAATCCAAGAACTGACGCGGCATTATGCTCCCGTCTATCCCAGGCAAAATACTAAGCCGCATCATCCTGGAGAGAATCGAATACGCCCTGGATGAAAAACGTCTACTAGAACAGGCTGGATTTAGGAGAAACAATTTATGCATGGATGAAGTCGCAACACTACGGATCATCACTGAATACAGCTTGGAACAGCGGTCAGCTCTCTACTTCAACTTCACCGACTTTGAAAAGGCCTTCAGCAGACAGTGTCGATCGAAGGTGATTTGGAAACTACTTCGCCACTACAGAGTGCCATTAACCATTGTAAACCTCATCCAACAGTTGTACGACAATGCTGCATGCCACGTAATCCACAACGGGAAACTCACAGAATCCTTCGAAGTGAAGACAGCAGTAAGACAAGCTGACTGCCTACTATCTCCAATGACTTTCCTGATCGCGGTAAAGTGGATAGTGCTACAGGCACTGGGCAATAAGACAGGCATAAAATGGACTCACTTAAAGTACTTGGAGGATCTGGATTAGTGTTTCGGCGATGATATATGTCTGATTTCCCACAAACTGGAAGATATGCAAATGAAAAGAAACAAATTGTCAGAGGAAGCATAAAAGATAGTACTTCACTGAGTTGAACATAGAGAAAACAGAGGTGATGAAGATTCCTGCCCAACAGCAACAGCAACAACAACAACAACAGACAACAATCAGCCAGCATTAATGGGAGAAATCTGAAAGAAGCAACCTCCTTTACCTACCCACCTACCTGGGAAGCATCGTTCCAACTGCAGGCGGAAATGGCGAGGATATCAAAGCAAGGATCGGGAAACCAAGGCAAGCTTTTATTACTCTCAAGTCTGTGTGGAGGTCAACAATTCTCAGCATGAAATATAAGGTCCGGATTTTCAACTCCAATGTCAAGTCAGTACTGCTCACTATATGGATCAGAGACTTGCACTGCACGTCATCAAGAGCATCTCAAACAAACTACAGGCCTTCATTAACAGCTGTCTTCGCTCAATACTCAAGATCAGATGGCTGGCCAGAAAATATCAGCAACAAGGATCTCTGGGAGGTAACCAACCCAGCAGGAACCAATTATGCAATAAATGTGTAGGAAGAAATGTAGGTGGATCGGCCATACTGTGAGGAAACCATCAAGTGATATCACATGCCAGGCCATCGCTCAAGTGGAATCCGAACGGGAAGCGGCGAGCTGACCGTCAGTGCGAGGGTGACATGGAGCAGGTCATGTGAAGAGGAGATGAAAGCATGTGGGCAAATGTGAAGCTAGGTTAGAACATTGGCGGAGAACTGAACGCAGTGGAGACGTGTGGCTGAAGCTCTATGTGCCGTTGGGAATTAAAGTGAACAATAAAAATATTATTATAGCAATAAATTTGGGATGTTGTCCATTACTGTTTGTAGTTGTCGATAGAATTCTCCCTTCCTCTCTTCTGAGTCTGAATTATTTTTAGGCACGGCGTAGCACTGGATTATTGTAACCTTCCTTCCTTTTGAAATGAATCTTGCTTTCATAATCCTGGAGGAGATTGGTTCCCAGTGCATGAGAACTTTGGCTGCTGTTGGTGACATCGTGATATCTACTGTCTTAGTGTACTCGTGTTTGTCGTCTAAGTGACCACAGTAAATCACAGACTTACCAGTTGGCAATTTTAGCAGTCCACATCTATCTGCTCTCTCATATTCTGAGCACTTCTGTATCATATCCCCTCATTTGTCTGGCTACCTGGGCGGCCTTCCCAGCTTCGTATATTGTACGAACATTCCATGTCTCCATTCTTATTCTTGCTATCGTAGGGAGAAGAGCCGCCGTCTAGCTGACTGGCTTCCGAAGGTTGTCACCAGCCCACCTCATTTCGCCTCTCCAATTCTGGAGAAGATTAGGTTTGTTTTTTAAAATTTTTTGTATCTTTAATATTTTTACTGTGTGTTGAAGTTTCTGTAGCAGTTTGACTGGTTTTCTAGAGTAGGATGGCTAGCTCCACGCCCAACCTTTCCTCTTCACCCGAGATTGATAACGGCTAGAAATCTGGTGTGTTAGTAAACTATCCAAGATTTAATCATCCAAACTTCTTGTTTATTTCCCGGTATTATTTCGTTTTTACTCCGTACATGTATCACTTGCGTCGATCTTGTTATTTGCTGTGTTCTCAAATTTGATCGGAAATGGTCTTGGAGCTTTCTGCCCCCCCCCACCTTACAATTTTATAAATTCACGAATTTTTAGTCATTTTAATGACGAATTTATTGAAAACAATGCTTTCTTCGCTGCAACTGTCTTTTCAGTGTAATCCATCATAGAATTTGCATGTACTAAAATTCTCATTATTATTAAATCTATGATTTTTTCTAGCCTACTGATCTTAATTTATATCGTTGCTTGCTTTTAAAGTATTACATATTTCCCTGTTTTCTCCCTGTATGCATCTCCTCCAGTAGTGTTTTCGTTTGTTAAGTCAACTAACTGATTTTTTCAAATATTCTTCCATACTTATTACAAATAACTAGTTCACCCATTTTTCAAGTGTTGGTTTTTTTATGGATTGTGTTTGATTGACTGGAGGGTTTTATCATGAGCTGACATCAGTTAAAGAACGATTGGAAAACTACAAATAAGGAGAATTGGATAACTAGAGTTTTCGTTAGCCTAGTTTGGGTATCGCTCTTCAGCAGTAAGCACCCATCATTAAGATTCGAACTCAGGACACCTTCCTCTCATAAGGCAAGCTCTTATTCCACTGAGCCACTGGAGCCTGATTCAAAAGCCCTTGAATTCCATCTCCTAATCACTCGCGATATAAAGTTCGACTACCAGTTAATGCCTTCAGTCAACTTCATTGTGTGGTCTAGTAATGTGGTCTATTTGCGCAAATAACGTTACATCATGCAATGTAGCTTTTTCAGAAAAAATCTAACTCTTATTGTCATAGAAACATTATTATTTGTGTTATTATTTTATTCCTTTATGTTCCCAGTGAAACATAGGGCTTCACGCTGGAGCCTTGAAGTTTCCGTAACAGTTGTGATTATTTTCACAGGATGGGGTTACTAGCCTCATGCCCAACCTTCCCTCTTTACCAGTCTTATTACTGGCTTAGCGAGGTAAAAAAGTACGCCGGCCGGAGACTGAACCCCAAACGACCAGCATAGTTGGCGAGCAATCTACCGCTGTGCCACTGACGAAACAACTCCAATGAAAGAAAATATTGAAGACTAAGAGAACGATTTAGTATACTTACTGGACCCATTTACAACACTTATCCGCACCCTTTTCATCTTTACAGCAATCATATATATAGAAAGCCGTTTGATAGGATGGACATTCCAAAGTAGCTAAAACAACGAAAAAAGGAAGTTTTGAAGAATAATTTATGAGAAAAGGAAGAAGAGAAAACAATGATTTTTCAGGGATTTTCAAGCTTTTATTTACTAACTAATATCAGAGAATACTAGAATGGCAGAAATAGTCTCAGTACTATGGCGTTCAGTTCTTCTAACCTTTTTCTACCTTATCTAACCGCAGCTATATGATTGTGATGATGGGACATGTCAAGTGATTCATTCACACACTGGGAAAAGTCAGTGACGCCACTGAATTGAGTGATGACACGGGTGTGAGGCAAGGTCGCCTGCTTTCACCCACTATGGTATTCTGAATATTGGTGCAGTGGATCATGGTAGAGAAGGTACATGACCAGTGAGAAGACAGGAACACTTTGGGACGATGAGAGGATTCATGAATAATTCCCATCCAGACATTAATGAGAACAAAACACACAGTTCTGAGAGGACGCGCTCTTTTTGACGAAGTTATTTTCTTTGGCTAGACAATCTCACTATCTAATTACAAATTTTCCTATTACAAAAAAGAATAGAAACGAAAGTGATTGGTTTCCACAATCGTAGATGTTAATATTAGTCAGTGCATAAGTGGAGTTCAATAAGTGTATTAGACTTACGTAATAGGATGAATAACTTAATGTGAATGAGTTGTAATCACAGTGCACATGCAAATGAAGGAAAACTCGATATTACGTGGGAAATACAAGAGTGACGAGGAGTTGGAAAAACAACGTAACACAATTCAGGTTAGCAGAAATCAACAAGGCTGTCACCACAATACTGATATAAGTGGCTGGATGATTTTGTCCTGTCTGCATAGCTCCAGTCTTTCCTATTGAAAGGCTTAGGCTTTAGGAGTGCAAAGGAGACGAAAGCAAGTTGCTTTGGCAGGTTGTTCTCCACTTTGAAGATGACTGTCGAGATCACGTGTGTTTAGATGGGATAAGCAGTGTTGACAAGGTGTTCAATTAAAGAACTCGTTATAAAGACTCTGTTACCTTCTTGGAAGCATGCAGAAGAGTGATTTAGAAAGATGTGCGTCGAACGACTAATATATATGTCTCCATGGGAACAGCTGAAGTGGTGCATACACACAGAATTGATCAGGTGAGAGGTCGTTTCTTTGAGCTTGTCGTAAGCAACTAGACGGTTGGTGAACAATACTCTTAACGTTACTGCGAAGAGATCGCCTTACGAAGATGGCCAAATTTCACTCATGAGTATATCCATGTCAAATGGCTTTCAACCGTGGTATTTGAATCTGGCTCCACGATAGATCAAAAGCTATTAGTTCCTTCTCTGCATCTCTTATGAACTCAGGCATTTCACCGTTATATTCTATGTCAGTAACATATTTATGGTATAAACTACCTCTTAGTCTGTGTTGAGTTAATCGTGGATCAGCAGTTCGCTGATTTGATTACTTTCAAGTTTGATCACGAACTGACACATCGGTTATAGAAGTTTATAAAACAATCGGGGCACATATTTCATCTTCCCAGCTTGGAACTGTTGAGAACAACTTTGCCATGACGTCACCGCAAGTAATCGAAACATCCGGAAAATTTAAATTGCAAGCCGGTTGACCAGTCATCCACTAGGAAGGAGTTCAGCTTCTCTCAAGTTGCTATATTTTAGGACTACTGCAACCTAATGTCATTGGAAGCTGATGAGGAGATGGTTTAGTGTCATCAGGCGCTGGGACATCGAGTGGAACCCGAATAGAAAATAAACGAAGTTTGGGCGACTATCTGAGTGTGATATGGTGGAGATCGTTTGAGTTGGAAGATATGAGAAACTATTAGAAGTCATGCAGCCAATTGAAGAGTTCCTCAGAGAATAAGACGAAGTGAAGATGTGCTCCAATTAAAGCCCTATATTCAAAAGGGCACAATAATAATAGCAATAAGCACACCGTACACTAGTCAGCAAGCTGTCAAGTAGAAAACATTGCCAAATAAGCGACGGAATAGTTGAGGGTTAGACAGCAAAGTACAAAAGATGGTGTGAGGTTATGGAAATCAAATCTTCCGAGCGAACGTGAATCTAGACGATAGAGTGATGACACATAAATAAGTAGCATGGAGACACGACAGTAAGGCTCCCATTTTCAGTCAGAATACATTAAAGAAATAATAACTTTCACAATAATCGTGTAAACAGTGAGAGCTGGACATCTTTCAAGTCAGTCTGGTTGGAGAATTCTCAGCAGCATGCGCATATACGGGTTCGAACTCAGGATATTCCGGTTACGACGCGAGCGCATAACCAATTTGGTGCTCACCAGCGTACAGCAAAACCTTGACACTGCCACGTAATTCAACTATTCAGTGAGGCACATCGGAGCATTGACTTCAATATGACACATGAAATTTACTGACAGGAAATTCCATTCTCCATTCTGCTAACATACTCATATAGTAGTGCTAAGGTATAAGTCCACAAAGATTCAGTCAGCGAAAATCCACGCGGAAATCTCTCTGTCAAAAATTTCGACACGTTTTATCCAGATAGCTATTCTAGCCACATTTAAATGCGTTGCATGGCAGGGATTAGATTGGATAGAGGGTTTATCATGGATTGATATCAGTCAGAGAACCATCAAAAACAAATAGCATCAGGGAGTACTTGACACATGTTTCTCCCTACTACACATCCATGGACACACTGTAAAATTCTGTCTAGAACCTTCAGACTAGGAGACGAGCTCATTGATCATTCACCCACTGGGACGAACGCAATCCATTGTATCAGATGGATTCTCACCTCAACAAATGTGCAATATGTATAGCGTTGAAGCCGACCAGTATCACAGGCGAATTGGATGATTTCATACTGGTGTGTGATAACTCTGGATTCTAGAGCTCAGTGGTTCGCTAGTGCGTCGGTGGCACAGTGGTTAGGACTCTCGCCGACCATGCACATGGTCCGAGGTTCGATCCCCTGCCGGCGCACACCCAATATCTATGGTCAGCCTGAATTTGGGCTACCGATATCCATGCTGAAAATTCCACACTTGTTCTGAAAATACGGTGTGGAATCAAGCTGTAAATCAAAATAAATAAAAAATAAAGGCGAAAATTAATGGGTTGCCAATTATTGAAAGGAGGATTTCAATTGGACGTAGAGAAGACAGAGGTGATGAATACATCCAATGACCAGCAACAACAACAAGCAGCAAGAATCACTATCAATGATGGAAATTCGAAGAAATTCACTTGTTTCGCTTACCTCATCGCAGAATCATTTCAACTTGAGGAGACGACATAGAGAAGGGTGTCATAGGCAGTCGGGATCGGTAAGAGCAAAAAGGAAGACCTTCGTTATTTTGAAAACAGTGTGAAAATCTACTTCACTCACTCAGCATAAGGAACAAAATTCCAATTTTTCAACACCGGTGTTGAGTCAGCTAGTCAGTTCTTCTGTGTGGATCAGAAAAACATTTCAAACAGCCAGTTGCAAACTTTTATCGATACCTGATCTCGATGCCTAAATAGCGAAGAACAGTGTAGGAACTGCACTAGTTAAAGACGACCTACAACCAATCGTCAAAACTGAAGCTGTCACTGATTCAAACCACTTGGATAGAATCTCTCAGCTAAATATTCAATCAGTTCGACTTAAGATCACTGAATATCTCTTGGAAATGTTTCAACAGACTTCACGACATACCCTGTTATTTGTGGTTGTACACGAGTTTCACAATATTTCAGGAGTTCAGACTAGTTGAACTGTTCCTCACAGTCTTCTCATTCATCTATGTGAACTCTCTGAGAGGGGAACATCTCTACTCGCCCATCAAATTGTGATATCTGTCTGTAGGAAAATATACTGCACTAGATGTAACCTCCGGTATACGACCACCTTGACATTACAGATAATAATATAACTGATGGCTGACTGTTTTGTAGATTTTGGGACGTCAGCCAATATTTGTAGCCGACTGTCCCGTGTTCAAATATTATGCCTCTGAAATGTCTTGATTGGCATTCCACCCAGTCATTGTAGTAATGAACTGATCATCATGTAAACACGATGGAGGCCCTCTCAGTGACTTTAGCCAGCAACTCAGTCTCTACCTGTCTATTTTTCGTATACCTTAAATCAAAATTACAATTTGACAATGTTACATAAAATGGACTCAGGATGGGATAAAATAGGTGATTTTACTATGTGGGTGTCAAAATTTTGCTGACTTTTGCATGCATTACTATATTTTCAAGTGATATATCGCTAGTTTTTTGTTGTTGCATAGAATTCATTAAACTACTTATAAGCGCAACCGTCATAAATAGTATATAAATGCATACGAGAAATATACGCCAAAGTTGTAATTTCTTATTCATATTTAAAAACACTGGACTCATTTAATCAAAATTACATTTTGACAGTATAATAGAAGTTGGAGTGAGAACACGGTTCATAAGTGCAATTCTTATGTGTATGACAGAGTTTTTCTGACAGTTTATATATCTTCGTTCATTTTCCACCTCTTTTCCAAAGTATACATTTTATGCAGAACAAAATATTTAGAGCGAACAATTGTTTTCAATAAATTTTTTAGTGTCTACAATTATAAATCCATTAATTTAAGCATACAGTAGCCAGTAAAGGCAAATTAGAATCATATTAGAAAGTGTATTGTGGAACATGTATAAGATGTGATGGAACAATAGTCAGGTAGTTTTTAATATGCATGATCAATGAGAACATGGGACAAAGTCAGATGAAGTAATTTAATTTAATGATGTGTGTATATATATAAATAAAGTCAACAGAAAATACAGGTTTCGAGAGTGTGTGTAATCAGGGCGTGTGAGAAAATATGAAAATAAACCAACGAATGGGGTAGACTAGACATAAGTTCAAGGTTGAATATAACGACAGTAAGAATGATTGTAAAATAATAATGATGATATGGTGTAAAATTACATGCACTATTGGTGAATGATTGTCAAATAATAATAATGAATATAATGAAGTGGATGAAC